TCAGTTGATGGGACATAGCTATGCTACACATTCAAATTAAAGCTGGATAGAAACCAGCTATAAAGTTATTACATGTTTTCCCGCTCTAACTTTGGGTGCAAAAGTAACAATTTTCACTTAATTTGGCCACAGAAAGCAGTTTATAGCTATGACCAAACAAGTGCATGGCTGCAGACAGCTTCAACAATGGTTGATTAGGTGAAAACCTCATCCCTCATTGCATGAGGTATCAGATAAAGACATTTCAAAGTGTAGCAACCTTTGTAACTTGTGTCTGGAGCTCCCAGCCTGTTGCTGCTCCCAGAATGGGAGCGGGGAAAGGGAGAAGAGAGAGTTCAGTCTGGGGGGTTCAGTCTGGGGGGTTGGTGTATTGGAGCACCCTGAAGGTGGGGGTGGGGCTCAAATTCATCTACCCCACCCTTCAGCACCATCTGGGGAGCCCCAAGAACCAGCTCCCTCTGGTCCCTTTCCCCCCTCACATTCTGAAAACAGTGAGCACTCGCAAAGCCCTGGCCATTGCAGCCAGGTTCCCAGCCAGCAGCTAGATTCCCCTCCCCACTTGAACCAACAGTGAACTTCTGTTTGGTTTGGGATAAGTTGTAACTCAAAACACTTTGCAAAAATCATTCTGAGTTACAGTTGGGACCTGCACTGCTGTCTGCACCAAGCTAGTTGGACCTCTTTAAGGGATGACAGTTAATTTACACATGTAGCTGGTCTAAATTAATCATGCAATTCACCAGATAATTGCATAATATATGTAACGTGTAGACGGGACCTGAGTTTCACATAGGACAGGTGTTGTCAGCATTAACTGTCTTTGCTCCCTCTCAATTGGGTGACTTTAACCCAAAAGGCTCTATAATCTGAGGCTAGTTTCAGTCATCAAGACATCTATATCAAATCTTTCATGGAAACTTTCAGAAATCATACATAAGCTCTTTGGAGCAGAAGCTATCAATCATAATATATTTATACAACACTTAGAGTTGTTACTTTTAAGAGCTCATATGTCAAAAGTTAAAGAATAATAATTATTATGTATAGGACTCACAATGACTAATTTTTGTTTTATGTTAAGTATAGCCAATAGTAATACTGTCTTTCTCTCCCCCCATATTTATAATTGTGGACAAACAGGCATACAGGTAGATATGCACGTGTGCCCACATGTGTGCAAATAGTGTGTACATGCATTTATAATCATGTGATGCATTTAACTTTTTTTGTGCAATGTTGGCTCCTAACCTACTCCCTGACTATTAACACTACCTCCCGACCTACTTGTAAAATTCCTTCTGTACTATGTCAAATAGTAAACATTTTTTTCCAAAATTCCCAGGCAATCTTTCCTGCAGTTCCCTCCAGCTGGAGAATTTCTTCCCCACAATTAAATAAATCCAGTTTACACATGCAATATTTCATCTTTCATGTACAAGTGATTGGTCTTAGATTTTGCAACATGTAACAGGACTTTCTACTAATGTGAAGAGGTGATTTAGAGTTTCCCCTGGGACAGATAGCAGCTGATTGTATCCCTAAAAAGGTCTTGCTTTAGAGTTGCAATTATTATTTTTTATTACTCTTTCTCTGGGATTCCTGTTGGCTTCATAGTAACTAAGACAGCTGTTTTCCCCCTGCATCTCCCTCCCAAGAAGAGGACCTACAAAAACAAACAGTCCCAATTATTTCCAACTCCCTCACATATGTGGCTGGCCATAAATCTGTTGGAATTTTTTTGCCTTTTTCTTTCACGTATTTCCCTAACAAAGAATGCCCCAACTGGGAATTTTTTACTTACCTATTTTTGCAAGGGAAGCAAGCAGTATCCAAAGGGTCACTTCACAGGGAATCTGAACGTAGTAATAATTCAGTTTAAAAACATGCAGTCGCTCATCCCTCAAAGAGTCCTCGGCCTCTCCGGGTTTGTAGCGTGGAGCTGTGGCACTGCTCATTTTGGATAAATCCAAAAATGGAGCAACAAAGGGACACTGCAGAGTCAATATCACTAGTAACCAGTTCATAAGATTCTGACATATGAGCACATGAGTCCCCATAGTCAGGGTTGAAATTTTCTTTTATTATATATGTAGCATCTACGGTATACGTGGATGCGTGTGGTATTTTCAGCTTGCAGTGACAAAATCTTCAGGACTTCACCACAAAATTCTTAAGAATCCCAATATCCCTGTGCCCTTCTATTTTGAATTGCAGAAGGATCAGGAGTTTAGATGAAGACACAGGTATTTTCAGGCTCCTTACATACAAATAAAATCTCTCAGCAGCCTCCCACTGTTTAGGAATAAAGTCTCTTTCCACCTAAAAGAGTCCTTGCTTTTGTTTTTACAGAGAAGAGTAGATAAAAGTTGACAGGAGACCCTTAAGAAATGTCACAAGACTAAAAAGAATCAGAGGGTGCATTTCTCAGCATGCAGAACAGGTAGAACTACCTGCTCCACACCTCTTTGTCCTGGTCTGCCTTGCTCCCTCCTGCATTCAAAATGCTCAATGCTCCTTGGTAGCTCCAATATCTGACTTACTTGTACGGACTCACTTGATACTTTACTTCATATGTAAATCAATGTATCCTTCAAAAGTTACTTTAGAGACACCTAGTGGAGAATCACAAAAATTACATATTGTTCAGTTAAATTTTGTTGTTTCTCATAGCTCCATAAAACATACTCCTGGTGTGTATAGAAATTGCTTTTTCGCCGTTTAAAACATTTTATTGCCAGGACTTAACAGAAGTTCACAGCTTTACAGCACTTTAAAAATAGGCACAACACTTTAAATTAACCCTTGTTAAATGGAACTCATTGTGGTACCTTCTGCATTTTATTTTATTTTTTTTATTTTACATATACCAGTATAACACTTATTGGAACCAATCTTGGTATATTTCTTTCTTTCAGAAACAGGACATTCACCTTCATTGTTCAGCTATAAAAAGAAAAGTGTCCTGCTGTACACTCTTCTATTTCTTTCTTTGATACTTACTAAGATCCTGGTGCTGCCGCTTGCATTCACATTAAGTAGTACTTTACTGAATGCTAATCTTGTTGATTTTGAAGGGCACCTCAAGGAATAAAACACTGATCAATCCAAAGAAAGTGAGGAGCTTACATCTGTAATAGTCACAATAAATAATATAGTTGTACATTGATCATTTCCCCACGCATTCACTTATCAAACCTCATGAAACTCTCATTAAACATTACATTCTTATAAAAAACAGGAAAGTGACATTGATGGGTGTGTTTGTATAAAGATTAGAAGGTTTTTTCAATATGGGTAATCTGGCTGAATGTCTGAGTAACTGCATAACATGAAATGGCCTCTGTTATGAAGGCATTCATTGGTCCTTTCTTGCCTTAAATAAATGAATGTAGCCCAGCTGTATAAATGGTATGTAATTGATTGATTAGTTAGGTAGGATTCTTGCATACTTTTATTGGATTATTAGGCATTCCAATGAAATTAGGTATTTTTCAGTATATCTTAATTGGGGAGAGGCAACACAATAAATCTAGAAAGAACTGCTCTTGGTAAATATTTGAAGGCTATTAGAAGAGAATTGTCAAGCTACTACCTGTGAAGATGTGCAGCTTCCAGCCTAGCTGCACAGCTATTTGGCCAAAACTAGGAGACTAAAGAGCAAAGGGATACTAAATGTTTGAAGCGCCTCTCTGGAGAAAAAGGAAGGGATGAGTTGTGCCTAAGCTGTGTATTGGTGGAACAGATTGACATGGAATATGGAACAGGCCTCACAGGTGTATCTGAGGTATTTGGGATGCTCCTCAGCTTGCAGGGAATAGTAAGTATTTGAGGAGGTGAGGCACATGCGTAGACTATTTGTTGTTTTAATATGTTTTCTCTTAAATACTTTGGTTCTGAATAAACAATTTTTGTTTTGCAAAGCTTTCAGCTTGGTCAGTGGGTACCACCACTCACAGCTCTTGGAGAGAACAGAACTTCAGTGCTGAAGATAACACAGGCCAGCTGAGGTAATTATGGTACCTTGGGACTTCAGACTAAGGTCCCATCTAAGGGTGCATCTGCACAAGACATTACTACACAGTGATTACTGAGTATTTATTTGGTACTTGTATAATCAATGTGCAGGAACCAGAGTTACTGTGCAGTAGTGCCAGCAAACACCTTTTAAATGATGCTACTGCACACTAGCCTAATAATACTATGCAGTAGCATATTAGCACTGTTAATGCTGCGATACATTACTGTGCAGTATTATTTGGCTATTGCGCAGCCAGTGTCTTATGTAGATATACCCTGAGAGTAGGGAATCATGTGATTGTATACCAAAGGAGCATCTGTTTGAGACCTATGACTGGAAATTCTTGTGCTTGAGGAAGCCAGGAATGGTCAGAAATAAGATAAGTCTCCAAACTGTAACAAAAGGGTCTTTTGTATATGGCTTTATTGGCAGTATGCAACTGATTGACTGTATGTTGGCTGCTGCCCACCAATAGTACCTATCAAGTTCAGGGGACTGGTGGACAGGGGAATCAAGTCAATATGATATGTATGTGTCCACATGAGTAAAATATTTTACACTTGTTAGAATTTTCTTTCCCTCACTCAAAGAATGATTGGGTTGCCTGGGTTCAGATACCATAAAATAACGTTCCAGCTGGTCTCTGCTCTTGTTCAGTGTATAAAGGGAAGTGTCAGTGAGGTGGTACAAGCTTCAGTATTTTCAGTAAGATGTTAATACCCAACTCCATATTTCCATCTAATTAGACTCAGTTGGTGCTGTAAAAAATCTGTGGGTAAGTCCAGATATGTGAGCACGTTTCCTGAGGAACAAATAGCTTTTGCCGCTGCTACTTGTCCCTGGGGAATGCCTGTGCATGCGTACTCTGGCACACAGCAAGTTGCCCTGGATGAAGTAGGGGGCACCTGGGCTGGCCCCAGCAGTACTACCCAGGTCCTGGGGACCTCCCAGGGCTCCAGCAGTGGCGCTCCAGCAGTGGCAATCCAGCAGCAGAGAGCCTGACCAGCAACCAGAGTGTGGCTCTGGCCAGCCAGGCTCTGATTTCAGGCAGCACATACTGCTACCAGGGGCACCACCCTGCTTTTTTTGAAGCACGGGTTTATTTGGCACCAGGATTGCCTCCCCCACCCCCACTGCAAATCAGCAGTGGGGGAATGCCTGCACACGTGATGTGTAGTACTGCAGATGAGTCTGCGGTGCTGCATACTGCACATGTTCGCTGATGTGGACGTGCCCCATGTGTGACTCCCTTTTCAAAATCCTAGATCCACCCATGGGTGATTCTACGGAGAGGAAGACTCCAGGAGACTCTCCTTACTGAGTTTTCAACAAACAGTTATATGTGGATCAGAGATTGGGATTCTCCCCATCTGTAGAACGGGAGAAGCTTATTCCTGAGTGCTGAGGATTTCCTAGAATATTTTCTAGCTACTTCCCCCAACCTACAAGTTTTCCCTCCCTTTAACTAAACTAAGCTTCAGTAAGCTTGTTTTCATTCAAGTCCAGGTGTTACCCAGTCTATTTGGGAAATGTTAAACTTTTCAAATATGCTCAGCTTTTGTCCATTTGTACTCCAATGAAGTCAACAGGAGTTTGGCCATTGACTTTTAATACAGCAGAGCTAGGCAAATGCTGAGTATACTTCAAGAGATCCCATCTCTGCGGATTTAGTTTTAGCTTCTTCCACACAAAGAAAGCCCAAAAGTCAGTGCAAATTACCTCTAAATCAAGATCTGGCTTTCTGAGGACATCATGGAGTGCTAGCTCCTCTAGCATACTCTTTTACTTCATGTTTGTACAACATTTAACAACATGGTGGGAGTTCACCCCCTGTAGGATTTACGGACATGAGCTTAAAATAAATAAATATTATATATCTGAATATATATACATTAAAGACGAGTCCATATCACAGCTGTGTTAAGTGCCATACATTTTCACTAATGGCATTTTTCGTGTCTCATCATAAGAGTTCTTTTCACTCTATTTTGTAGTGATTTATCAATGAGTCAGATGACAACCACATCTTATATTAGTGGTCTGCTGATATAAGAAGTTCTTCTAAGTCTGCTGGCTTCCTTCAGTGGTATTTATGCTATTAATAATCCATGCTGAATAACCTTTGGAGGAAACCTTTAGTTTGTTTTTTCCCCAACCCTTCAGTATTTTTCACCGGCATATAATATTGTATATTTTTCCAGAATTTTTTGTTTGGAGTATTCCAGTTAGAAGGCTTCCAGGTAATCACTGGTAAAATCCGAAGAGCTTTCTTCACCACTGGAGGTAAATAATCTGGCTCTTGGAAAGCCTGGAACTTAATGAAAACCAGTTTTATTGTGCTATCTTCTAAGGCACAGCTCACCGCTGCCTGCAGTTCAAAAATGCTTGGTCCGTTGACATAGCTAGGGCTCAAAATAATTATAGCTCGTCTGCTTTGTTTAATAGCAGTTACAACATCATCAGTATAAGCTGAAAAAAAAGAAGTAGGGATTAGAAATGTATTACTTATCCAATAGGCTCCTTATGCATTTTCAAAAACCAAATATAAACATAGAGGAATCATATTAACAATGTTGGAAATGCATCCAGCATTTGAGCACAACTCAGCAGCTGTTAAACAGTACACAGGTGAACCCCTTAATTCAAGGCAAGAAAAGAAGAAGACACAAATGAAACCACAGGAGAATTTAAGAAGTCATTGTTTAAGCACATTTGGCAGTGTCACCTGAGCTAGTATCCTGACTTTTGTGACAGATGCTTCAGATTCTTTAATAGATACAGATTGGAAGCGACTAGAGTTGAACACAGTTTTCTGTTCTGGTCTTTTCTTTTCTTTTGGAAATAACAGTTTTTTTTTCATTAAAAGGTTCATATTACTTAAATTAATAATCAGGAAAATGAGCCAAAACATTTTTGTGGAGCTAAGTCAGGTGTTTTTTTGAGTCAGCTCAAAAATTAATCTGAGTCTGCCTGAGCTGTCAGATTTCCCCATGGATTTCTACTTCAGGTGACTTGTCCTCCCCCTATTTTCTCCAATGAATTGGGCTTTGTGGCTGGAGTATATGCATCTCTGATGTTACGCCATATTCTCCCTTTTGGCTGAACAAATGTGACACATTGTCTGGAGTCATGCATTGATGGTCTATCATGCCAATGCATCCATTGTACCTGGCCATTAAAGAATGGGAGCGTGAGGCCTTTGAATCTCAGGCCCCAGGAATTACTGCTGCAGCTGTGGGAGACACAGTTCAATGGCAAACTTAGCCAAACAAAAACAAAATATTTTGATTTAGGAATGTCCAAATTACCAAATGTTTCAATATTTCTAAATATTTTTCAGAATTTTCCATTCCGCAAAAAAAAGAACAGTCATGACTTTTCAAAATGATAGAGGAGGAAAACAGATTTTGAAATATGGGAACTTCCTGTCCCATTAAAATTCCAATTTTCAACCACCCCAGTTGATGACCTTGATTTATGTTTCATCCAAGAGAGACAACCTTCAGCAGCACATGCAGGCAAAGAAAGAGTTTCTTTTGCTGAATCAACGCCACTACTTTCTTCAGCACCTTGGGCAATTTCTCTAAGAGTTCACTCATTTATGTGGTGATTAGATACAAGCTTGTATAAGTTGCAAGTGCTGATGAAAAGTACTTGAAATGACAATTTTTCTCAAAAAGAAGTCTTCAAAGTTTGAAAATATATTACCTTTGAAAATTGGCAGAACCAACTATACGAACATTTGGAAAACTGTTGGGCAAATGCTTTATCTCTTTAATTTGTTTAAAAATTGAAATTATGTAGAGTATCTTCAGAGATATTTATTATGGGCCAAAGAGATCAATGGAGTTGTGTCAATCTATGCCAATATTAAGTTTGGTCAAAATTTCTGAGCTTATTTTGTTTGACTTCCTTTTTTGAGCAGAAGGCTGAACAGATCATTGGCTGATACAGATCATCATGTCCGTTTGCATTGTGTAAAAACAAAAGCATAAACAAAAGAAGCTATCAAGAAAGAGGTTCAATATTGAGCATTTAAAAGTGATCATCTTCAACCTCTTTGATGATCTTCATGCCATTAACCAGTAGGAGAGCCTCAAGAAAGCTACTGGCATGCAAAGAATTCCTAGGCTTCTCCAATAAAGAAACATCAAGACTAGTCTGATGAGAATGATAGGGAAATTCAAGCGCTCAGTGACAAATCAGGGGAGCCTTCAAAATATGGCAGCGTGACATGAACTCCAAACAGAAGCAAGACAGTTATAGCCACATTAGAGCCAGAGGAAAATTCAAAAGTGAAAGAACAAGTAGTGGGAGGACAAAGCAAGAGAGATTAGAAAATTTGCCATGCCCTGTGGAGATTCTTCAGCATAACCAAAGCCACCTGTGGCCCAAGCACACAAGAAGCCCTCTCTCTGAGATCCAAGGATGGAATAACACTCTTTAAAGACAGCTCCACCATCAAGACATAGTGGAAAGAGCAATTGCAAGTGTCCTGAACTGGGATTCTTAGGTCGAAGACAACATTACTGAAGCCATTCCACAACACCCCATTAGGACTACCTTGCAAATCCACCAGTTTATCAAGAGGCCTTAAAAGCCATTCAGTAGATGAAAATAACAAAGTGTGTAGTCCTGATGGAATACCAGCTGAAATTTATAAGCAAGGTGAGAGAGCTTCTCTTCACAAACTGCATTGTTATTTGGAAAACCTGGTAATGTAGACAGATTCCCAATGTCCTGACAGATGCCAAAAATCATTAAAATATTCAAGGAAGGAGATAGAATATATTGTAGATATTATTGTGGTATTGTTCTCCTATCCATAGCTGGGTAAATCCTTGCCTGCTTTCTCCTCAAGAGACTCACCTTCCTCACTGAGTAGATTCTACCCATATCCCCATGTGTTTTCAGGTCACTCAGGTACAGTAGATATGATTTTTTAGCTGCAGGAGAAGTGCCACAAGCAACACTGAGATCTTTACATGGCCTCCATTGACCTGATTAAGGTCTTTGATTCAATCAGAGAGCCTCTATCAAAGATAAGATTTGGATGCCCATTAAAATGTGTTGCCAGACTCCTTCATGATGAAATGACAGAAACTGTCCTAAGCAATGGCTTGGATAATGGTTCATTATCAGAGCTGGAGTCAAGCACGGATGAAGGATTACACCAAGACTCTTTTCCATCTGTATCATACCTATTTCACATCTCATTGCTGATGGGCATATTAAGTACAGAAAAGTAAAAACTGATTATTACATTATTATAGACTATAACATAAAGTTGTAAAAATAACATCAACATTAAATATTTCAAAATATTTTTATATTAGAATATATTGTTATGATTTTTGACTTTTTGTCCCTTTGTAAAGGGGGGTGCAGAAGCAAGCAACAGGCAGTACAGAGCTACAGAATTCCACCCCTCCTTTCTCTTGGTTCTTCCTTTGTTTCTCTCCGTGCTCTGTGGCACATCCCTTTCCTTCTCCAGCCATTGCTGCTGCTCCACCTGTCTGCCCTGGGAGAAGCCCCAGAGCTGCTCCTGCTTTTCTCCAGCTGGGCTACATAGGGAGCTGGTTTTAGCAGCACTGGTGGCAATGGACCCACTCTTGGCCTGGCAGGATTGGGCAAAGAGGAGGAACCCACCTGCTGACACCACTGTTGCTGTCCCAAGCTGAGCCTGGCTCCCCATGTGAGGTGGGCAGATTGGAGCAAGAGCAGGTCTAGAGTTCTCCCCACCCCCAAAGCAGCCAGAGACAGTGGCACTGACATGTGGGGAAGGGGAATAGAAATGGGAGGGCATACTGCTGAGCATGAAGGGAAGGAGGGGCAAAATTCTTACCTGATTGGGGGAATTAAAAGTCCTTGGCTGCTGCTGCTTCACCATGGTCTGAAAGGGGGCGGGGAGGGGGGAGCAGGGGTTGAGACCATGCCACAGAATCCCCTCTGGATCCACCCCATATGAGCTGAAACTCCATAATCAAATCACACAATACACAGTATCATTGAATCCTTGATGAATATGTTTTTTTGAAAATTAAAACCATTTGGAGGGATTCTTATCACATTTTCACCAGTTAGGCAGGAACTTACCTCCTCCTGGAAGAATATCCCTTTCAAGGAGACACAGTTTATATCCATGTTTCTTCTCTAACACCTCTGGAAGAACATCCAGGGCAAATTGTTCCTCATTGACAAAACTGGAATCACTTCCAAAGGAGTTCATTTTCGCATAGGACACAAAAGCATCAAACTCTTTGTGATCTACAATTAAATTTAAATGATTTTTTTTAAAACCCTGTAGCTAATCTTATCTGGCTAATGTATTTCTAAAGTACCAACAATTTCAGTTAATGCTGAATTACCATTATACACAGTTTGTAACTTATTCAACTGAATGTGCAAAATGATTGCAAGATGCAAAATTCAGGCCTGGATCTAAGCATTGTTTCAAAGCTTCAGGGCCATCCAGTTTTTTTACGCAGGTAATTTCCCATTAAAGAATGACACATAACCTGTGGATTTCAAATCCAGACACCACCTTTCCCAGGGCTTTGAGAAAGTTCTAGGAGTCTAGGTAGCATCCATTTTAGCTGTATGCATATATATTTAAGAAATTAACAGATATTTCCATTTTAAAGCTGAGCCATTTTTGTAAAAAGTTGAACAGGGTAAAGATTAAATGTGGTCAGGTGGGTCATGGGACAACCAGAGAGAGCTGTGAAAAGAATACATAAACTAGTGCTCAGAACAGTAAGACTTACTGTGTGTTCAGTCCTGAAAGATGCTGACTTCACTAATGTCTTTGGAATTTCTCATATATTGAAAGTTAAGCATGTTTAAGATCTTTGCTGAACTGGACAAGAGCGCCCAATACATTGCAGGTTTGAGCACTGTGTAAGAGGTAATGATTTTGTAATCATCTGCCCTGGGCAATGGGTATCTAATGGAATCTTGGGTGAGCCTCAACGCTCAGTAAGTAGTAATGGAAACTTATGTGTGCAACTACAGTTTGTACAACTTCATCCAGAGTTAGCCTATTCAGACAAGCAAGCTCCAGAAAGTGTGCAAGCATACAAATTTAGGCTCACAGATATGGAGGTTGACTTGGGGCTTATTTAAAACTTTTACATCTTGTTTTCTTAAAAAGGAAAGAAATTGTTTTACTACAATCATTTCCCCAGTTTGACAGGCCTGTTACACAATCACAAGTAATTTGTAATTGTTGCTAGAAAAGTATCTTTGAGAAGATCCCTTCAGGGCCTTCCACCCCAATATATCAAATTATATTTTAAGCTTTGTGAAGCTAAACTATCATTTACTATATATCTTCACAGGACTTAAAACTGCAGAGACTTTACTTGGCCAAAGCCTCATCATTACTGCAATAAAAATATTAAACCATAGAATTAAAACTGATAATGCTGATTTATGATCAACACATTCTGCTTATTTTTTAAGATGACATTTTAAAGATTTCCTGCAAGTACACTTCTAGGTTGATTTGCCGAGTAACCAAAAGGAACACATCACCACCTTTTGGAGAAACTGTTTTAATTAGATAAGAAAAGAAATTAGAATCTACAAAACCTGACCCAGCTCTGCACACACGTGCATTTCTAGTCCTCAGGTTTTATCACAGACTAAGACTGAAAATTATTATAGGATACTCTTATTACATAACCAACGACACTTCACCGCTCTCACTGAACAATACTGAGAAATCTATCTCCTACTCTTCCATGGTTGAATTAGGGCTGTTGTTGCAAGATGTCAGTCATTTAATATGCTTTTCCCTTATATTTTCAAGCTTTTCTAAAATCCTGATCCAACACTCACTGGAATCAGAAGCTGGTAGGAAGCTCCACATTGCCTTTACAGGCATCTGGATCACGCCCACAGACAGCAGATGATTTAAAGCATAAAACTGTTAACCAGCATTTCAGATGGCACTAGAAAAACTGAAATAAAATAACATCATACCCTGGTTCTGTTTTTCTTACCTCCTATAGTTTCATCCTTGACCAGGTAATTTCGGTACATCAGCACTATTTCAATCCAATGCTGATAAATAAAAGCACTGCTCACAAGGAGTCCAAGTAACATTGAAATCAGACCAGATAAGATGTATAAGAAATGCACTGAAAAAATAAATTTAATGCTATCAAAATTCAAGATTTCCAAAATATTAACATTTGCAAGAAATGCTAACACTAGACATGGGACTAAGGTCCCTGGCACACTTTATATTTCTGGCACGATTAACATGTTAATTGTACCATAAATAGCAACATGCCACATGTCCATCTAATTTATGGACCCATAAAATGGCAAAACCGGACACAAAGAGAAGTCTGGAATGGGATCCAAGTTCATATCTGAACATTGCGACTTAAGCTGCCTCTAGCAGCCACGTAAGTACATAGAACTGCGCAAAAGACAGGGTTGATTTGCAAGTTATAGACTACCTAATTTCAGACTACCACAGCTAACTACCTCTCTCGGAGTATGTAGAATTCCCATGCAGAAGGATATCTAGTGTCTCCCTACTTAAAAAGCAGATCCATCATAGAATCACAGAAAATTAGGGTTGGAAGGGACCTCAGGAGGTCATCTAATCTAACTCCCTGCTCAAAGCAGGACCAGCCCCAACTAGATCATCCCAGCCAGGGCTTCATCTAGCCAGGTTTTAGAAACATCGAAGGATGAAGATTCCACGATCTCTCTGGGTAGCCTGTTCCAGTGCTTCACTACCCTCCTTGTACAAAAGTTCTTTCTAATATCTAACCTAAACTTCCCTTGGTGTAACTTGAGATGATTACTCCTTGTTTTGTCACCTGCCACCGCTGAGGACAGATGAGCTCCATTCTCTTTGGAAACACCCTTCACATAGTTGAAGGCTGCCCCCCTCAGTCTTCTCTTCTCCAGACTAAATAAACTCAGTTATCTCAGCTTCTCTTCACTGGTCATGTGCCCTAGTCCCCTCACCATTTTGTTGTCATCTGCTGGATTCTCTGTAATTTGTCTACATCCTTTGTGTAGTGGGGGACTGGGCACAATACTCCAGTCCTGATGCAGCCCAGTATGCCATTAGCCTTCTTTGCAACAAGGGCACAATGTTGACATATATTTAGTTTATTTTCCACTGTAACCCCCAGGTCCTTTTCTGCAGAGCTGCTACTTAGCCAGTCGGTCCTCATCCTGTGCCAGTGCAGACCGGTATAATGCAAACAATCTACAGGCATTTAGTAGCCTTGAAAATTGTCTGATTAACACCTCCAAAAGTTGTCCATCAAACAGGTACTATAAAGCACAGGGAAAGAATCTGCAAATGTTCTACACTTCTCCACCAATGTATTTTCAGTGAGAATAAGAGGAAGCCCTTTTCAGAATGTGAGGATAGGTTCACTCTCATATTTGTTCAGTCTTTGGCCTCTGCTGAAATTACCAGAAGTCTGCCAGTTTCACACCAATTACAATCAACTGTCTGAGCTAGACACACTAAGAAAAGTGTACTAAAAATCCTGAATCTTGAATAATGCTGTTGTTTGAGGGAACACAGTACTTTCAACTGCTTATAAATCCCTCTGCTACTTACAAGAACCACACCTCTCTACCCACAGTAATCCCTCCTCCCCCCCACCCTTCCCTTCTTCTTCCACTTAGTCTCCTGCAGCCCTCAAGACATGCCATTTCTTCAAGAGGGAAGACTTACTGGTAAGAACCTATCAAATTCACAATGGAAATAAGCTGTGCAGCAGCTCCTTTAATCTTGCAGGTCCCCCCCGTGTACCCCACTCCTCCACACAGCTGATTGGCTGAGGGGCTGCACTGGTCTTGCTGTTTGTTGCTGACTGGCCAGGAGGCAAAACCAGCATCATATTGAAAACTGGTTTTTGCAACCCTGCCAATCAGGACTGAGCAGGCAGGGCCCCTCTGCCAATCAGCAGTGTGGGAGGCGTAGGGAAACCTACAAGATTAAAGGAGTGGCTGCACAGCCCATTTCTGCCATTAATTTAGTAGGTTCTTACTTATTGGTATGAAACACCCTCCTAACTTTTGGTCCACATCTCCATGAGCGGAAACGTGCAGTTTGTGCTGGTGAACCTGCTTGCCATGTTGCCTATTTGCAGCATGGCAGCAAAATTAGGTACTGGGAAATCCCAGTATCTAAAAAAAACATGGCAGAAAGAAGTGGGGCAGTGCACATGGCTGCAGTGTGCACCATCAGAAACTGGAGCCTGGCCAACCAGAGCCAAGATCTGGGTGCCGGCCAGGCTGCACACACCCAGATCACTGCCACTGATGCCCCAGGACACCAGGTAAAGCTGCTGATGCCAGCCCAGTTACTGGCCCCAGCCTCCCCAACGCAGAGCAATTTGCTCACACCAAAGTGCGCATGCAGGGGCATGCACGGGGACAACTAGCAGTGATACAATTGTGTACCACTGCTAGTTGTCCCTGGGGAAACACACATTCCTGTTAGTGGAGATATGTCCTTAGAACCATTTTTTCCACTCAGCTTTAAGGAACGCCTGAGACTTACTGAAAGGTAAATGGAAGTGTTGATAAAGAGAAATGAGGAGAAAAATTTACCTCTTTCCTTTCTTTTTAGCTTGATCACTCCTGTAGACTTTCCCACAGAATTCTGAGCAATGCATGTGAAGTTGCTGTTGAGGTCCTTTTCAGTTACTTCCCTCAGCTTGGCTATATGAATAACTGTTTCTCCCACTAATTCATTTTTCTGATCCCTAAACAGGAAAATAATAATAATTCATAGAAGCCCTTGATTAGACAATTTACAGGTGGCAATGTTTTCTGCATTCGTATGAAATGCCTCATATGAAACTTCCATCTGAGGTCATGATGATGATGTTATGTTCTTATGTTAAGATACTTATGTTAAGAAAAAGCACTATTGATTAGGCAAAATATCCAATTGACTTGTACTCAAGTTTATGCACATCCTTATGAACCTACCTAAAATGGAAGGGACTGTGTTCTTTTGCTTTACGAGACCTTTATAAGATGTGAAGTTAGCAAAAGCCTCAGTAGGTACAGGTGCCAAACCAGGAAATGTTTTTCTGATCTTATGATGATCTCCATATATACCAATATAACGTCAGTAAGCAGACTGATTTTTTTCATGCTGAAGATTTCAACTGGTACACTGGAGACAGCCATAAGGGAAATGTGAGATGGGTGCATCTACACACTACAATAGTGTGCTGTGAAGAGATGTCTGAACTACTCCATTCAGAATACTCTGTTTATCTTGGGAAATGAAAGCTTTATAGCATAATACCTGTATAATAAGGTGCTCCACTTGAGCCAGTATACCTTGTTTTTCAGAAGGGCTAGTAAAGTTGGATAAGAAGCTACAGTTAGACAGAGAGGGTGGAACTGGATGGAGGAACATATTAAGAGTGGGAGGGGATAAGCAGATAATGCATATATGAAGGCACCCAGGACACTAACCAGGGGTAGTCCAGAGGGCCAAACTGGGATTACATGGGCCAGGAGTCTTGGAATGGGATGAGAACATTGAGAAGAAGAAACTAGGACAGGGTAATCAAAGGTAATGAAACCAGAACAAGATAAGTAATAGAAAAGAGATGCAACTCAGAGACACATTAGAGCAGGGGTGGGCAAAGACTGGCCCACCCTCCATTTCTCTGCAGCCCCTACTCATGTCGCTGCAGCCAGTTTCCATGGAAGCCCCAGGACTGGGACCGGGCCAGGGTTTCGATGGAGACCAGCCCCAGCAGCACTGGCTGAGCACATGGCTGGGCTGGGAGCTGCTCCAGGACCAGGACCTTTCAGCAGTGACAGCATGGCCTGGAGTCAGGGCAGAACTGCAATCCACTGCCTGCATGCCCTGGGCAGGGCCAGATCAATGCATAGGCAAATTAGGCACGTGCCTAGGGTCTTAAGTGAAGAAGGGGCCCAATTGTGCTTATTTTACATATTATAATTATTAAGTGAAACAAGTAATATAAATTTACAGTATTAAGTAGGAGCCCATGAGTTTGTTTGCCTAGGGCCCACTAAAGGATTAGTTTGGCCCTGTTCCCAGGGAGGGGCATGTAGGCAGCAGATCATGGCTCTGACCTGCCTCCAAATTATGCTGTCGCTGCCGCAAGATCCCACCCCCGGCCCCAGAGCAGTTCCCTGCCTGCCTGCGTGCCCTGCCAGTGCTGCTGGGACCAGTCTCCATGAAAACCCTGGCCCCACACTGTTACGTCCCTGCCACTGCTGAAGTCTCTATGAAAACTGGATGTAGTAATGCGGGCAGGGACTGCTGGGAAATGGAGCCCGGCAACCAGCTGAATCCACCATTTTGCCCACCCCTGAATTAGAGGATGGGACATGAATAATTAGTCTGTGGGAAAACAGATAGACAAGGCTGGGGAATTGTTCCCTCCAAGAGCCTGTATTTCTGAGTCTCACCACACCACAGCTGGAAGCGAATATCTCTGAAATCTACTGTAAAAGATATCCAATCCATCTCCAGTTCTGGCTGTCAGAGAATGGCACCCCACTATTGCTATCCATTATGCTTGTAACTCAAATGACTGAGCTCCAAGCAGTAGATCATAAGATTCCAACCCTGCTGATGAACACGTCAGCACCAATACAATACCATGTAATAGTATTTTTTTGATCATTTCATTTTTCTAAAATCCTGTGAAATTACACATTAAATCCATTTTGAAACAACAACATTGTTAATACTGTTGCAAAGTCAAGCAGTAAAAAATTACGAAATGCCTGAATTAAGGTTGTCTTTTCAACCTAAAATCAAGGCTACTTAATAATGTGTAATATCACACATAAAGGGCCCATTTTAAGAATTTGATACCGTCAAGGTCCAAAGGACCTGGTCTTTATTTAATGCACAGAATAGATTGTCATAGCTATTAGTCAAGGTTGTGTAGAATGTCACCTCCACCACATTCGTTGTACAAACTAGAAGATGTAGACGCACATGAGACAGGGAATTTAAGGAGAAGAAGAAAAGGACCTCATGGAAGAGGCATTTAAAAACTACCACATAAGGCAGGGAAAACATAATATGTGATCATATAATTACCCAGACATCTCACGGGAAGAGCACTCAGCGAGATCTGAACCCGAGTGGTCATTTAGCTTCCTCACTTGCACTGAGGAGCTCTATTTGACTCCAGAAGTATATGGGCCAACCAGGGAAAAAGCACTCCTGGATTTGGTTTTGGACAAAGAGGATGATCTAGTGGGTAACCTGAGGATTGAGGGTAATCTAGGTGACAGTGACCACGAGATGATCACTTTCACCATCCATTATTTTAGGAAAGCTGACTTCTACAGGCTTAGGAGATTGATGGATAAGGCCCTGTGGAACCATGATCCGATGGAGCACACAGGAGGTTCATTCCTGTTCATAAGAAAGGTAGCAAAAGGGCTCAGAGACCCCCCTGGCTCAATAGAGAGGTCATGGAGATCTTGAAAACAAAAGGAGAAAGCCTATAAGAGATGAAAGCTGGGAATTACCCCCAAGGAGGAGTACACAGGAATGGCCTGCACCAGTAGGGAGCAGATTAGAAAAGCAAAGGCAGAAACAAATACAAACTCAACAGGAATCAAAGACAATAAAAAGTCCTTCTTTAGATACGTTGGAAGCAGAAAAAAAGGCGGGGGGAAATGTAGGACCCTTACTGAACCCAGTTGGACAGCTGACAACTGACACTCAAGAGAAAACCAAACTCCTAAATAAATACTTCACATCGGTATTCCACCAGACCAAGAATTTTAACTTGTCTGACAGGAAGCAGGATGGACAAGGTGGGGATGATCACCCACCTACAATCAGCAAAGACTTTATGAGGGAATATCTAGAGAGGCTGGATATTTACAATTCAGCAGGACCAACTGACCTACACCCAATAGTGCTGAAAGAACTGGCTAAGTCATTGCACAACTGATGGCAAAGCTATTTGAGAACTCATGGCAATCCGGTGAGGTCCCAGAAGACTGGAAGAGGGTCAGTGTGGTCTCTATCTTCAAGAAATGAAGGAAGGAGAACTCAGGGAATTATAGGCCAATTAGTCTGATCTCAAACCCTGGAAAAATCCTGGAAAAATTTATCAAAGAATCCATCAGTGATAGGCTAACAGAAGGCAGTATTCTAAAAGACAGCCAACATGGCTGTGTTGCAGGCAAGTCATGCCCGACCAGCCTCATCATCTTCTACCATCAGGTATCTCACCACCTGTATAAGGGAGATGGGATCAACATCATATACTTGGATTTCATAAAGGCCTTTGACTTGGTCTCCCACAATGTCCTCATGGTTAAATTGAGAAACTGGGGCCTCAACAACTTAATGGCCTGGTGACTGGGAAACTGGCTTTGAGCTTGAACCCAGAGAGTGTTAACAGACGGAATGGAGTCAACATGGTAAAAGGTGACCAGTGGTGTCTCCCAAGGCTCAGTATTCAGACCAATGCTTTTCAACATTTTCATCAATGATTTGGATACGGGTGTGGAAAGCGTATTGGCAAAGTTCACGGAAAATACCAAGTTTTAGGGGAGTACAATAATGCTGGAAGACAGGCTGAGGATACAGGCTGACCTGGACAGGCTTGTAAAGTAAGTGGATCTAAACCTGATGATGTTTAACACCAAGAAATGTAAAGTGCTCCACCTAGGGAGAAATAATCCACAACACACGTACAGGCTCAGTGGTGCTACACTAGCCAGCAGCACAAATGAAAGAGACCTGGGGGGTCATGATCAACCGGAATACGGACATGAGCCACCAATGCAATGCTATAGTCAGCCAAACAAACACCCTGGCATGCATCAACTAATGCATCACAAGCAAGATTAAGGATGTCATCCTCCTGCTCTACTCAGCATTGGTAAGGTGGCAGCTGGAGAACCGTGTCCAGTTCTGGATGCCACATCTCAAGAGGGACGTTGAGAAGCTGGAAAGAGTCCAAAGGAGGGCCACATGAATGATTAGAGGTCTGGAGAATAGACCGCATGAGGAAAGGCTGAAGGACACGTGACTGTCCAGCCTGGAAAAGAGAAGACTCAGGGGGGACTTGGTGGCAGCCTTTAAGTAAATAAGTGGTGAACATCAGGGGCAAGGAGAACATCTGTTCACCAAGGCACCCCAGGGAAAGACTAAAAAGAATAATGGCCATAAACTGATAGCAGATGACTTCAAATTAGACATAAGGAAAATCTTTACAGTTTGTGTGTCCAGAGTCTGGAACAGACTCCCTCCAGAGGTGGCACAGTCACCTCCCATGGACAACTGTATGCACACCTTGCTGGAGTCATCTGACCTCAGCAGTCTTTCCTGCCTTAGATCAGGAGGATGGACCTGATGATCTTGCGAGGTCCCTTCCAGCCCCTAACTTCTATGACTCTATGAATTAAAGATGAGATCATAGTGCATAGGCACAAGGGGAAGGAATTAAGGTTACACAGGCAATATTAATTCTGCCTTTTCATAACACAGAGGACGTGACTTTGCAACCTTAGGGTGCGTCTACACGTGCCACTATAGTGATGTTGTTATGGTGCTGTGATTTAGAAAGTACTTTTGGCAGTACTAAATCACAGCACTGTAATAGCCTATACTATGTAGCACATGCAGCACATGGTTATTTTTAGCAGCTACTTCACCATAGCAGTGCAGTATATCAGAGGAAGCACATTGCTACGGCGATGTAGCCGCTTGTCATGTATAGATGCCTACAAATACTACATCACCATAGTGTGTTGTTATGGCAATGTAGCATCATGTGTAGATGCACCCTTAATGTTCTTTTAATATAGACACACACCCATATCTATATGTATATGTAATACAGCATGAATACACATAAATATGTTAGAAAGTAAAGAAATGTGTGTGAATTTATGTATGTACCTTGCACATGTATACATGACTGTGTGCATCTTATACACCCACACATTAATGTGTAATATGTGTATGCAAGTATAAAAATCTTCAGTGCTAGTCAATAGAATTTTCTTAAAGTGACCGATATTTGTTAGTGCTCTTTCAGTGTTTTCAGATGAGAACATATTAGAAGTAGCAGTTATGGAAGATTTTTGTCATTTATTTACACTTTATTCAAGGCATTATATTTGTTCACCTTATTTGCTTCTGTTCAAGTTCCTCACTTTTTCCTTCTTGGCTGTGTCTGCTCCATGTTATCATAGGTGTGAAGTCTCTTTCATAGCCAAATTGGACTTTGCATTCCATTTCAATTGGTTTTCCTGGATTAAAAAAAAAAAAACACAAAAAATGAAATGCAGAGAAGTCTCTATTAACCTGAAATGGAAAAAGGACTGTAATACAAAGAAGTGTCTATTTTCCCCACTGATGACAATAAAGGAATGTACTACCAATAAGATATTTGAGTTTATTGATTTGCGATCTATATAAAACAGTGGAAACCATGGGAACAAAACGCATTTATCATACAGCATATTGATATGCCATTCAAATCTTTTGGGCCAGAAAGACAACCACAACACCAACAACAACAAAATCCATCATACCAAGTTCTACTTCAAGGATCTTCACACCCTTGGGAGACAATATGTTTGGTGCATAGATGGTATTTGGTGCTGCAAAATGAAGGAATAATAAATTGTAATGATGATTATTGCTACATTATTTGAAATGAAAAGATCTTAGTTTATGGCAAATCCAAGAATTCTGATCTTGTATTCATTATTCTAGATTACAGCACAGTAGTATGGTGTATATTATCACTGAACACTGAAGGCTTTTCCAAAGGCCATCAATATTAACAGCAATCTCTGTATATGGGTAGCTAGTCAAACTGACGGCCTGTCTGAACGTTCTTAGCTTATCCCAAATGTTTCTTCAGACAGTGAGGCAAATTGCTAACAGCAATTGTGGAGGGGATAAGGAGACAGGCTTGGTCACAAAAGTAAGTTACAGTAGAGGACAACACACGAGAGGGTGAGCGATAGCTAGATTTTCAGCATGAAAATGTAAGTAAAAAAGTCAAACATTCTGGGGAAGAAAAGATGATCTAACTTACTGACAAAAATAAATGTGCATTCAGATATTTTATTATTTTGAGTTGATATATTACTCACCAATGACATTCACTTTAACTACTGTTCTCATTGTCCATCTGGTATTATTGATGAATAACATGTAATCACATACATACACACCAGCATCTTTGTCATAGATGGTAAGCAAGTTGATTTTATCACCCTTAAGTTTTAGACTTAGTCTAAATGCCTTCTCTGTTAGTAATTTTCCATTCTAAAGAAAAAACAAAGAAAAAAATATTATTTATATATACATGAAGTCTCTTTCATAGCCAAGTAGGACTTTACATTCCATTTCAATCAGTTTTCCTGGATTAAAGATGCATAAAAAAATCTCAATTAACCTGAAATGGAATAAGGACTATTAAATTATCTTTTTACACTTCAGTATTGCAATCTGGTGCTCCGCATTCTGCTCCCTGTCCTACCTGCTGATGTTCTCCTTGTTCTCCTCCCCAAATGCTGTGTGCTAGACACAGAGGCTGCCCATGCCACTTGTGGCATGTGTGCCACAGGTTGGCCACTCCTTTGGGAGGCCATTTTACCATGAAACATTTTACCTTGACTGTTTCACAGGAACTTGAATTGAAACAATGGACTTGTGCATCTGGGCATGTTTGGACATTTTTTAATAGATGTCAGTCTTTCATTAAAAAAAAAACTTTTCAAAGCAAAATTCACTGTTACATTTTTTCTTACATATAAAGTTTTTCTATTTTAGAAAAAAAAATATTTCTATAAACCCCAAATAAGTTTATTCTCAAAATGTTTGTTGCATGGGACACTTTAGATTTGTTTGTTTCTATTCTGCTTTGGTATGGGGCCAAAAAAAGAAAATCTAAATCATAATATTCCTGGTGAAATGGAAAATCTAGTTCCTACTCAACTCATAATTATAAGTCATTAAAATATAGGAAAATCAAAATTCTGTCTTCAGATTGTTAAGCGTAATTACTATTGGCTATAGCAGAAGTTGTGAGCAAATGTATGTAAATCCAGAATTCAGCCTAGAATTGTAACTGCACTGGGTTCTGTTCTGAATGTGCTTAGAAGGAAGCATCTGTTACCTTGAACCATGTCACCTGTGATCTGTTTAAATGACTGTAACATTTTAGCCCAGGACAAGAAATTGAATCCCCCTTTCCAGTGATGAGAGACAGTGTATTTGTCCCATAATCCAAACACCTTGCCTGACTCTTTGCTTCAACCTTTATGATAATTTTGAAACATGAGACTTCTTCCCTGCATAGCACAGAAAAAAAAAGAGAGAAAAACAAGTTAAAATATTCAAGATATCATACCAGAAGAGCATTTTAGAAATCAATGAAAAATTCATTGTCATAGTGGTATACCTTATCTTACAAATATATATTCCTGAGTCATTATTTCTTATTGGTTTGAACCAAAGTGCATTCCCTTCTTGAGTGGGATTAGTGCTTTCCTTTCCAATAACCTCCAGCAGTTCTCCTTTTTGTTGCCGGAACCATACAACTTTCTTTTTATATAAAAGTGAGTTGTTGAAAATGTGGGTGTAGCTTTGAAATGGTACAGGGCATTGTAAGACCATTTCCTTATTATTAATTGCACGGTAATGTTTTTCAAATTCTTTGTGAAGACATCCTGAAAGGAAGGATAACAAAAATATCAGAGTAATCCAACAAGAACACAGGAAAACATCATTAAGGAGAAAAAGAGCTGTGAATATTCCATAATGGAATTTTATCTTTTTAACAATAAAACTAGATTGGCACAGGTCTACTAAAGACAATTCTAGTGTCACCAGACGAGGAGTTGCTATAAGTCTTTAAACACAGCCTAATAGCTTGCAACTCTTTGGATTTTATTGGCATATTTATTTCAAAGTCACAGAGCAATGGCAGAGGTTGTCCTGTCTTCTGCTTCATGAGCATGAGCTGTGGATGAATTTACTCAAAGCATCTTTACCATTATTGGTTTAGCTAGATTTCACCCTGTCTAAGAGGCATTCAGGAGGATTACTTGTTTTTATTCAATGACTATCTAATGTAAAACATGCAAACCATCCTGGCAGCAGGAGTTGGAACCAAGAATTCCCTCTCCCCAAGGAAAGTGTCCTTATCATTAGCTACAATCACATTTCCCCTTGGTCTCTCACTCTGCATTCTTAGGTGTGTTCAGTGGCCCAACTTCAACAGGAGGAGTTGAGGGTGCTCTTACCCAACTTGGTGTAAGTTACTTTCTTGAGAAGTAAGAAACATTGATTTGAGTCTGCTCAGCCTAAGAAGGGGATAGAACCCAGATCTCTGACTACCTGGGCGCATGTTATAACCACTAGGCAACTGTGCAAACAACAGGTGCTACCACAACCAGTCAGGGTTTTTAGTTGAATGATGCTAGTTGGAATTGTGTGTGCACTCTTAGAATGTATAACAGGTCAGATCTGTCTGGGATCTTCACCACCCCACAAGACAGGTGCCTCAGTGAGCAAACTGGCTCACTTCTGAATGTGCTCAAAAGCTGAAGTGTAGGTACTTAGGGCAGCGTTTCCCAACCAGCGTGCCACGGCACAAAAGTGTGCCATCAGAAATGAACAGGTGTGCCATGAAATTTTATCATGGCAATGAGCTGCAATAGGTATGAGGATGGAGAATGCCTTAACACAAGGGTGGGCAAAATGCGGCCCATGGGCCAGATGTGGCCCACCAGGCCATTCTATCCGGCCCATAGGGCTCCTAAAAAATTTAGGAAATGAATATTTATCTGCCCCTGGCTGCCTGTCATGCAGCCCTCGATGCCTTGCCAAAACTCAGTAAGCAGCCCTCCACCTGAAATAATTGCCTGCCCCTGCCTTAAAAAAATTTTAAGTGTGCCTTGGCCTGGAAAAGGTTAGGAAACATTGACTTAGGGAACTGTTGAGGCCCAAATAGAGGCACTAAATCAACTTAGGCACCTATGGAGTTTTGGGCCTGTTGAAGCAGGTCCTGTCTGAATTATTCTTTGGACCTTTGGCACCTAATTTCCACATAAGCCCTGTTTAGATCCTTACAGCAGAAAGCCCACAGTTCCTTACCCAACAGGCTGAACTCAGCTTTGCTGATCAATAAAAGCAGGATCCAACAAAAAGTAAGCATTGGTTTCTTTTCGGACTTCGGTTGATAATCAGAGACGTTCTGCATAAATAGCATCTTCTTTGCTGTAGAAAAGAAAAAACACGCATTTGCTTTGAACAATAATCCACATTAGACTAAACTAAGAAGTAATTGTTTTAGACAGGGCTGGATTATGACAGGGTGGGGCCCTTAACTAGGGGTTCTCAAACTTTCCATGCCACGGCCCAGCAAACTGCAGACCAGAAGCGGCCGTGGCCAGCAAACCACAGAGTCCCGCTGCCAGAATTTCAGGCAGAACACAGGTAAACTTACTTCCACCCCCCAGGTGTGAGGGTGGGCCAAACCTGAACCACAGCTGCTGCGGGTCCTGCAGGAGGAGTTGTGGCCTCTCCGCCTGGCTCTGTAGGGCTGCGGTTTGCCAGTCCACAGTCACTTCCGGTCCAGCAGCCAATGCTTAGAGGCCCCTCTTAGTGTGAGGCCCTACGCTATAGTTTGTGCCTAAATCCGGCACTGGTTTTAGATTACTATTCCAAACACAAAACTGCAATAATAAAAATTTGGGGCTGTTTCACCGAGACAGCTCTTTTTTAGAAGTTGTTACTTGTAATGGGTTTCTAAAACATATCACTGTACACAACTAGGAAGTGGAGAATATATACAAAAACTTAATTCAAACACGCCCTACATAGAAATAAAGATGGAAAGTCAGTTTTACAAATGCATCACTTCTGTAGCTGCATGCTTAGTTCAGGCAGACAGACTTCTCCTGACTGAATCCCCATTATGAATCCAGCACCGATTAAACCACTGGGGTGCATCCACACACGAACAGCACAAATTTGTGCCAGGGATTTTTGCCACAGCACGTGTGCCTGAACATACACTTTGGTGTGGGGCAAGTTGTGCCACCCGGGGCAAACTGATCCTGCCCAGCTCCTCCCAGATCTGCAGCCAGGGGGAGTTGGAGGCTGGGACCAGCACCTGTATAAATAGCTGCTCTGACAAGCAACTCAGGGCTACTTGCTCTCAGGAGCTTCTCAGAGAGGAGCCTCTGGGAGGAACTTGGCCATGCCCCTTGCTGGCCCAGGCTGCTGCTGCTGCAAGCTTAGTCTCAGGAGCTTCTGTGGAGAAGATGGCCACACCCCTTAGTGCCTCTGGCTATTGCTAGTTGTTGGCTTATTCTCAGAGCTTTTGGGGGTAAACTGGCCGCTCCCCTTCCTGCCTTGGGCTGCTGCTGTTGCTGCCTGCCCCCCACAAGGGGGAGGGTCCTCTGCTGCACGCCACACGCTGCTGCTCTCCCCACCCCTTGTGGCATCTCAAACTGCTTTGAGGTGCCGCAACAGGCATGTGCACACTCGTCTGGACATGTCCAAAAAGGGTTCTCAACCTTTTTAGAATTAAGGTACCCCTCTTTAGATGTAAGGCATCCCTCAGACAATGCCAACTAAGTTTTCACTCATTTTTTGACCAAAAAAAAGTAATAGAGCAAGTTTTCTGTTGCAAAAGAACTCAGAAAGACCATAACAGCTCAGAATGTTTTTAACACTATGGATTCCTATTTGAAAATCACTGAATTTAAAAACAAGTTACTTTGTTTTCCTTTTTTTGTGAATGCTGTTTACTGAGTGAATCCCATTTGCATACTTAACCATGCTGACATTGCATGGCACCCAGTGGCACCCTTGAGAGGATCTGGTTGAGAATCACTGAATTAGTCATCCACAGCTCGGTCTTTAGCTGATGCAAATCAAAGTTCCACTAAAATTATACCCACATACATTAACCTGTCACCTGACTCTCTGATTACAAGTTCTTTGGGTTATCACCCATTGCCACATGAGAGGAACTGTTAGAAAGGTTCAACGGCCTACTTACATAAGCCATAGCCTGTTTTCCTTCAGCTTCCTTCCCAGCTACTGCTATGCATTCTCCACGTGCACCAAATGCCAAAAAAGGTAAGAGAGCCACTTGTTGACATGTTTCCAGGGTCTACAAAGCACTGTTCTCAAGCTCTTAGTTTTCTGTTATGGTTCCATGCCCCAAACAATGAAAATGCCAAATGATGTTTTGGAGGGTATTTGGGTTATGGAGAACAAGAGCAAATGGGCGGGTCATGTTTTTGTTGCGGTAATCCCCAGCATGTTCAGGCGTAGTGGAGACATGCCCTTACACGACTGCTTTGCTATCAGTGAATTGTACAAGTGCATAAATTCCATTTTCGTATTTCCATCTTCCTTACATTTCCTGGGTTTGCATCTAAACCAGCTATTTGATTGCATCTAAACCACCTATCTAGATGAGCAGTAAAGTGACATTCAGTGTCTAAATTAATGTTTCTTTCTTTCTAGGCTCCCCTTGGACCAGTTCCAAGGAGAGGAGTTATCTGAACCAAAATAGAAATCTAGGTTTGCAGCAGTAACACAGTAAAAAGCACATTAAAGCAAGTTGGCAGTATGCCCAAGAGTCTCCCAATCCTTGCTGCTATAATTATATTAGTCTCACTAGATGTCCAACATGTCATTCAGCATAATTCTTATTTACTTTTTTCATTAGCATTTATTTATATAGGCTGCTTACAGACGTGAAAAAAAAGAAATACGATACTTTACTTCAGCTTAGCACACCCCCACACTAAGTGCAGCACATGCCCAGAAGAGGCATTTGAACGAGCTCACTCAACGTCTGTATAGATCAGGAGGGGCTTTGGGTGATTTTATCTAATAGCTGATTGACTTAGCTTTACATAAAAGTGCCAAAAAACCCCACTGAACCATGAGATCTATACAGATGCTGGAGAACTGGGTTGAACTAACACGCTTCCTCTTTCAGTAAAATGCTGTTTTGTCTTGTTTTCCACATCTGTCAGTGGCCATGGTGGCTATCTGTAGGGACCTACCTAAACTGTGGCAAAACACGGGGTTTTTCATGGCCCACTTGTGGTGCACAGAGTTCATTTCACAGGCATTTTGCAGCAGCCCCACCACTCAGCACCAACTGGCAGAGGCTCGGGGGGGGGGGGGGGGGG